TACATTCTTAATTGTACCTTTAGTAGAAACAAAATATGTATAATGAATCAGATAAGCGTAAATCTGTTAAAATACTTAAAGTGGTAAAGATTAATATAAAGAATTACAAAATCGTTGTATTAATAGGATTTAAATTGATTAACATCGTTAGGACAGTAAAATATTGATATTTATATATTGTGTATATATATTGCCAGATTTCATAAAATTAAAGTCAGAAATTCTCCTAATTTTTCACCATAAATTAGTCAACGTCTTTTTGAGGAAGATCGAGTACATTAATTGATAAAACAAGCATTACACGAATCTGTGTAAAAAAATTTGAATATTAATATTTTCTTCACGCGTCCGTCTAAAAACAAACTACTAATTATACTAAATTACTCCTCGAAACAGGACACATTGAATTTAAAACAATTTTCGAGTAATAATAACGAATAGTTATTAACAAGGCTAACTATATTTACAGATTCTCATCCTGTATAGAATATAAAACTCATTTTGAATATAATTAAAATAATAATATACGTATATTATTGTATAAAGGTTTATTTTATGGTGAATGATAGTATAAATTCTAAATAAATTTATTACCTCTGGGTCCATGTTGTTTTCTGATTTCAGAAAATATGGCAGAACTTCTTCGTAGCTCCAACCACGATTTCCTTTCTCTGCCCATTCGTCGTAATCTCTTCGATTACCACGAACGTACATCATGTAATTGATAGTACTGGAGCCACCCATCACCTGTAAATATGATAATAAATTAAAAGCATAGACACTTTAATACTAGAACTATTCCCACTATTTCTAGGTTTGTTGGAAATTTTACGAGTATAACTAAATAGTCGTATTCTATCTATCTTATTAATAATATTGTGAAATATTTTGTATAACATACAGATATAAACACTTTTATGTTGTATGTTCGAGTACTTTTTATCATTATAAGTGAACATGCTGTATTGAAACTATGCAAATAGGAACTTTAAACATTATTCTCTTATATGGCAACAATTCAGTGTCTCTAACGAAACTGTAAAAAATTAAAATATGTGCTGTACGTACTTTACCCCTTAGCATCGCACAACTTCTACCCAATCTTGATCGACA